ATTTTCAATTTCCGCAACACTCGCAGCCCGGGATAGTGGCGCTTGGGGGTGTGGGCTGTTTCTTCGCTTCCGCCGCAGCCCGGGCTCCAGCAACAGGATTTTACTGTAAAGTTCTGGAGGGCAACCAAGAACAAAGGTAATGGCCTATGTTGTAAAACAAGGTTCTTAGACTTGTGTAACTTTCACATTTGGAGAAGCACTAAAATTCAGTTTAATTTCATTGATCTCTGATATGAATATGTCACAGCTTTTGTGGGCAGTCACATGAAAAGTAGCTTCAGGAGTGCTCTGGAACTCTGAGTGGGTAAAGCAATATTTATTTGCATGGAATCCAAAATGACCCACACAATTAAGAAATGTATAATCAGTATATTTGCTTTCTGTTAGTGTAATGAGTAATTGAGATAACCAGACTCTTTCGGCTCACAGTTTTAAAGGTGTTAGCTCCGGTTAACCTTTAACCCTGCTGTTGACCCTGCTGTTTTTGAAGACCGTGGGAAAGTAGTAAACCATGGCAGACAGTGTATGGGAAGGAAGTGGCTTCCTTCATGGCATCCAGTAAGCAAAAAGAGAGGAAGAAGGGGGTCTGGCTACCAATTGCCCTTTCAAGTGCATACCCAGCATGAGTTCGTTTCCTTCCACTGGGTCCTACCCACTTTCTAAGGAGTCCACCACCTCACAAAAGTCCAAAGTCTCTCCATACAATCAGGGCAAACTCATGATTATGAGCTCCAGAGAGTCTAAACACAAGTTACATACTTCTAATATGCAAGAGCATATGCATTCACATTCCCAAATAGGAAGCATGGGAATAGTAAGAGAACCAAATCCTAGCAAGGCCAGCGGCAAACCATGCAACTGCGTGGCATCTGAGGCACATTGTAGCATCATTTGAGCTCCCACAGGCTTGGCAGCCCTGCCCTATGGGCTCCCCTCTTTCCTCTCGGTCCATTGGCCACCGGTCCATGAGGACAAAGGGGCAGAAGAGACAACAGAGAGTCTTGAACAGCCCAGAACACAACAGAAATAACCTTCCAGGAGCCTGCTTCAGCTCAGCTTTAATTCAGATATATAGGATTGGGGTTGATAGCTGGGGAATCACCTAATTTTCGTTAAACATCGTGCTCCTAACATAAGGCTCCTGTTACAAGTCTTAGATATCATCTGGGTAAGCGTGGTCCTAATCATAAAGCCCCTAGCACAGTGTCTAATTACCATATGGGCAGCAGGGGGAAAGCTTCTGGGTCAAGGTTTATACTAGCGATAAGTCAGGCATCCTGACCTAAGGACAGTCTCCAAATAAGGTCAGGTAGAGAACAGGACACCTTCAGCCATGGAGGGGTGGGGGTACAGTGGGAGTCCTCCATGTTGCTGAAGTCAGCTGCCAGGCCGTGGGGGACTGCAACCTCTGACCAGCAGGGGGGCCCAGCACTGCCCCGTATGCCTGACCTTTACAATGCATTTGACGACTTCTGGAGCCAGCTCCACTAGCTGACTGTCATAAACCTTAGGTTTTATTGCAATTTATACCTCACCCTAGGTGCTTCATTGCAAAGGCCTCTCAGGACTTCCTTGCAGGGAATCCAACCCATCTGCACATTGCTTCACCTCATCTGTTAGTTTGCTTGTTTTGCTTTGCTTTTTTTCTTTCTAGAAACTTGGTGAAAGGTTTGGTCACCAATGACTCTTGTCTTCTTCATGCCTACAAAACAAGCACCATATGGATGATACCAAGTCCTACTGCTGGCTTAGCAAGTATCCAAGCCCCGTTGGACTGTGACTAGAGCAGCCTCCATGGCTGACCCTCCTTGGGCTGCTGTTTCTCAGCAGACCTCCAGAAGATCCTCTCCTCTGTGCAAGCCCTTCATTTTACATCATGGAGCCTCCAATGAATAGAATCTTGCTCTCAAGTGTATGGTTTCCTCATTACTGTACTAATCTCTTTAACAGGTGTCTTTTCCTATAGCCCTTGCCTCGGTCCCAGCTTCAAATGTGTTCCCTTTCCTTCCCTTGCCACATTACTAAGATCTGTTCTGCTCTTTCTTGCTATAAATCTGGCTAACTACAGCAAGCAAAAACCATTTCCCAGACTACGGCTTATACTGTCTTGATATTTCCTCCACCAAATAAATTAATCGATTACTTCTGAATTTGGCTTTTCAAACGTTTATAATGGAGGCAGACTGTAGACTTTGCTAGATTGTAACGTTGAGTGGCACCTCCTTTTTCTCGTGAAAGCTCGCGATCTGCTCTTTACTGTCTGCGTTTCTATTGCCATTCTGGTCTTCCAGACTCTTTGTGGAATGGCCAGTAATCTCTGAGCATAGCATTCAAGGACTTGTCACACCTTCAGTTCCAAATTCTTCAGCATTCCTTCCATAAATCAGTTTTAAAGACCTACAAACTGCATAGTAGAAATACCCTTACAAAGAACCTATTTCCTGGTGCCTTATACTCTATCAGTTTCAGAGTTTCTTATATGAGGTCCTTGGTCCATTTGGAGTTGATATTTGTGCAGAGTGAAAGATAAAGTGTAGTTATATTCTTCTATGTGTAGAAACTCAGTTTTACTGGCATCTTTTGCTGGCGATTCAGGTTTTGCTTCAGTGTGTATTATATCTGGAACCTTTACTTTAGTCCCTTGATTCACATATCTGCTTTGATGCTAGTATCATGCTATTTTATTACTATGGCTCTCTAGTATAATTTGAGATCAAGTGTAGTGATACCTCTAGCAGTATTCTTTTTACTTAGGATTGCTTTGGCCATCTGGGGTCTTTAGCGCTTACATAAAAATTTTAAGATTTTTCTTTCTGTTCTTTTTTTTTTTTTTTTTTTGGTTTTTCGAGACAGGGTTTCTCTGTGACTTTGGAGGCTGTCCTGGAACTAGCTCTTGTAGACCAGGCTGGCTTCGAACTCACAGAGATCGCCTGCCTCTGCCTCCCAAGTGCTGGGATTAAAGGCGTGTGCCACCAACGCCTGGCCTTTCTGTTCTTTTTGTGAAGAATATTATATGAACTTTCATTGGCATCACACTGAACCTGTGGACTACTTTTGATAGCTTGGCCATTTTCATAATAGAAATTCTTGGATCTGTGAACATAGCATACCTTTCCTTCTTTTAGTGTTTTTTTTTTCAATTTCTTTCTTCAGTGTTTTAAAGTTTTTATTGTAGAGGTCTATCCATTCATCAGTTAAATTTACCCCAAGGTGTTTTCTTGTGGGCTACTGTCAATGGGATTATTTCCCTGATTTCTTTGTCGGTATGCCTGCCACTGGCTATGGAAGACCATCTATTTGTGTATGTGTGTTAACTGTGCATCTTTTTTTATGATTTTTTTATTCTTTTTTTAAATTTAGATAAGAAACAAGGTTGCTTCACAAGTCAGTTCCAGGTCCCTCTCCTTTTCCCTCCCCTCCTCCCGTGCCCTCCCCCATCCCCCCCCGTTATCCCCTCATTCCCCCAGGGAGGGTGAGGCCCTCCATGGGGGTGTCCATAGTCTGTCATTTCATATAGGGCAGGGCCTAGACCCTTCCCCAAGAGTTCAGGGTGAGAGTGCACCTCACATTGTTCTATGGGAGTCCAAAGTCCGTGTGTATACTTGGGATGAGTACTGATCTGCTGCCCAAGGCTCAATAGATTCCCTAGGCCTCCTCACTGACACCCAGATTCAGGGGGTCTTGATCAGTCCCATGCTGGATTCCCAGGCTGATGCCTGGGATTCAAGAGTTAACCTTTGTCTGGTCATCTTAACACTTGGCCGAAAGTAATTTTCAGCTAGTTGAGTAGTATAAAGGTAAGGTAAATAGAAGGTAAGTTTAAATTTATCAAACTGTGAATTTATTTCTATTGCTGTTTAAATTCTTGAAAAAAATCTGTAATGGATCAAGTCCACGCTAGTCTGACTGAAAACATAGATCGACTCTATGTTTGGACTTTTTGGTTCTCCCAGTAACAAGGTGATCACTGTAGGAACTGAGAAAGAAAAAGAAAGCTCATTACTGTGTTGGATTTCTGTGGTGTCCGCTCAGGGCTCCTTCTTGTGAGTTTGCTCACTTAGTTGACAGGCTGGCCTAGGCTGTCTCCCCAGGACTCTCCTGGGAGCTTGTGAAAAGAAACACTGTATGAGTTCCCACAGTAAAGTTCATTGTACACTAATAAACTGTTTCTTTGAGGGCATTTTTCTATGAACAAAGAGGTCACGAATCTCACTCCTATTGTACATAATAGGAACATATCTACCTATGAGCAGTATACAAAAGTGAATGACTTTCTATAGAATACTAGTGTCAGTAGGAATATGCACAGCAGGCATCCCTCTAGCTGCACATGCGTGCATAGGTCCCATTGGGCAGATCTGATACCTTTGTCCCCACAATCCTTCTGGCAGTGACAGCAACCAGGGAATGTTGTTTTCTTGTATTGCTGTGTCTCAAACCTGCAATAATCCAGCATGTATAGATCATACTGCCCGTTTTAAGGACAGGAAAATATTTTGGGGTTAGGCCAAGTGACTTACCCAATATTGTATGTTTGTTAACCATCCAAGTGTCTCTGAGTCCAAAACCCAATTAACCACATACACCTAGCTCAAAGAATTTAACACGGGTCAAAGGAGGTTCACTCTTTTTTGCGCATGGTTACCAGTACAAGATAAAAGTTGCTGAGAACCAGTGAGGAACTCTTATGAAAGAATATTCCACTGATATTTGATGCACTATCAAATCTTACTCATAAAGATTGGAGACAGTGGTCTCTGTCTTCATATTACTGCATGTGGAGTTATTTTGAGGCATAAGAAACCTCTAGGTTACATAATTATTTTAAAATTTTTATGTTTACATGTCTTTTAGACAGAAAAATAAAAGCTTTATAGAATTAGGAGCAAGACTTTTCACAGGAGAAAAGGCAGCAGATTGACTGAGAGTAACCAGACACTGGAATGGACAGCTGAAACTTGATGGAGTTCTGCACCAGAACATGGGAGACTTTCTTCAGATCCTTCCAAAGCAGTATTTTATTTACAGTCACTAGGTCTGTTCTCATGGCAAAACAAGATTTACTGCATCTTGTGTTACATACATTATCTCAAAGAATTACATCTAGAGTAAGCCTATCAAATTTCAGCAAAACAAACCCAGCTTACATGAAAATGCACCCTGTGCCATTTACACTGAGAGATATGATAAGAGGGACATAACCCTCTCTCTAGTTCTAGTGACAAATGTGCCTGAATGCCCCAGATATTGTGACTCCTTGTCCTTGAGATGTTACACAGAGGGATGGCAGGTGAGTAGATACTCTGTAGCCAACCCATGTGCTTCTGTGCACACTGACTCAATACAAGTATTAAATCTCCAGTCTACACATGCCATTTCCAGATGTGCTAAGGGAACAGGCTATTCAGATATCAATACTGGAGAGAGATCTTGGCTATCTATAAAACAAAGAAAAACAGAAAAACCATTCTTATAATATAAAATATTTATATAACAGCATTCAAGATAAAGCTCACAATTATTAGTTAGAATTAAATCTTCAAGGATACAATTCTTCAAGGTACTTAAATAAGTCAGAATAAACTTTGTTACAATTCATGTTATGAAGACCCGTGGTTAGCTCATGACAGGAACTGGGTGGAGAAGCTAGGATTTTATTGCAGTTCTCAGATTTACCCAGAACACTTCCTGCTGGGCTTCATCCAAGGGCCATTCCAGGTACGTCTTGGTGTTCATTAGCTTGCGGAGCTTGCAGAAGCGCTGGGGGATGGCTTTCTTCTCAATGGGCTCTAGCAAAACCAAGATGCCGGCGTCATTGTTCTCATCAAAGAGCCTGAAGTGGGAGAAGTCCAGCTCATACTTGCACCACTCGCTCCGCACGAAGTTCTCAGAAAGCACAAACACGGTTTTGTGACTCTTCTCAATAGAGTCGATGATGTTGTCAATGATCCACTTGCCAGGGACAAAGTCTCGCTTGTGGAGACATAGCTTGAAGGGCGGGTCCGAATTCTCCAGCTGCTGCACCATGAGGTTCTCCACCCAATAGGAATCCTGCTCGCTGTAGGAAACAAAGGCATCATAGCAAATGTCCCTGCACGGAGCTTTCTTGGGCTTCCTCTTGGCCTGGAGCCACGCCCACGTCATTCTCAGGTACCACAGCCCATGGAAATGGTGGCACAGGCCGCCAATGAGCAGGATCAACAGGACAAGGGCACAGAAGACGCCAGACACTAGCAGAGCCTGGTGGCACTCCAAGACCGAGGGCCGGGCATCCTGAACCCTCTGGCCACGCAGGCGGGGCGGAGAGTCACACAGGTAGTTGTCTGGCCAGTCGGCCAGGACCTGGAGCAGCGCTGGCTGCTCCATTGTGAAGGACAAGAGTTCACAGGAGCAGATCAAGTGGTTGCCACCTGCTTCCAGACTCACCAGTTTGGGAAAAGAACTAAGTTGGTCTTTAGAGAAAGCATTTATGGCATTCTCTCTGATCTTCATGACCAGTAACACGGGAAACAGGGAGGCATCCGGGAGAGTGTGGAGCCTGTTCCTGGAAATATAGAGCTCTCGGAGCCGAGGCAAAAACAAAGAAAACGAATTGAGATTGTTGTTACTAACATCCAACACCTCCAGTGTCCGAGGGATGCACGTTTTTACTGCCTGTATCCCTGTACTGGACAAGTTCAGGAAACGCATCTTTTCTGGCCACTGGCAAGTGTCAGGCATGGGCTGAAAGCTATTCCTGCTGATGTCAAGGGCAGTCAGGTTTTTCAGAGTCAATAAAATCTCTCCAGTTCTCTCTATTGATTTCAAATGGTTCTGCCTCAAAATTAAAGTTTGTAGGGAAGGCCAGGCATCCTCACAGGCTGAGTTTTTCAAATATTCTTCAACCAGCAAATTTTCGCTGAGGTCCAAGAATTCCAATGATTTTAAACGCTGTGAAAACAGACAAGGGACCAGAAAGACCTTGCTGTTCTCTACTGTGATTCTCTTAACTTTCTCCAGGAGGGAATATACGCTACTCAGATCATAAAATAAGTAGAATCTGGGAATGTGCAGTCTCCGTATTATTAGCGTTTCTACTTTGCCTAGCTCTCTCACGACGTCTGACTCAGATGGCTGAAAATCGCCCACTCCATCGAGGGTGCAGTCATCAAATTCCACCTCTGACAGTTCTGGAGTGTAACGCAGCAGCTTCAAAAGTTCATTAAAACTCTCGTCAGTGATATCTGTGTCTCGGAATGCCAGCTTTTTCATCGTTGAATTCATTTCATCCATGGACAGTTCTGAAAAGCGGAAGCTGCCCAAGTTAGCATCTTTTAGTTCTAAATATCCCACAGAACTCAGACTGTCTTCAAAAACCCTCAGCAGGAAATCAGACTGGCTCAGGTGAAAGGTCAGGTGATAGATGTTTTGAATGGACTGCAGACTTCCAGGCTCATAATTCTGGAGGCTTAGCGCTTTGATTTCAAGTTCATCAAGAGAAGTCAGTCCAGCAAAATCCATTCTCCTGATCCCACTGAAGGTGGCAATGTTTCCTACCCTAAGGGTTTGTAAATTTGTGAGGTTGAGAAACAGTGGTGTGTCCCCCAGTATCCTATAAGGATTCCCCAACAAGTTTAGGTATTTCAAAGAGGAAAGAGGCCTGAACCAGGAGGAAGAGAGGTTGAATAAGTGATTATCAGACAGGTCCAAATGTTCAAGCTTGCTCAGGGAAGAAAAGGCGTCTTCCTCTATGGCGCTGATTCCACTGGACTGCAATATCAGGGCCTGGAGGTTCACACACCCCCGCAGGTCACCATGGCCAATGGAGGTGATCTTGTTGTTAGACAGGTCAAGGCTCTTCACGGCTGCTGTGAGTCCCGAGGGGATGGAGGTGAAAGACCTGGAGCGGCCGTCACACACACCAGCAGCGTCACATGACAGAGATGCCTCAGCAGAACAGCCCTCCCTGGAGAGATCTGCCATGGCCACCAAGATCCAGAAGGTCCGCAGAGTGGGCAACATTCTCCACCATTTGACCTTAAAATGAAGGAAGCACATGTGACCGGGTGTGCCTGATGGCGGATCTCGATTCTCACTCCTATGTGCATACCCACCCCTCGCAAATGCATGCGTGCAAGCAATAAGCCAGAGGCAAATGGCATCCATGAATGCAGATTAAAAATTAATTTCCTGATATGTACACAGCACTAGCAGATATTTTTCTGCCAATGAAGAAACTTAAAAACACAACCATCTGAGGGGAAAAAGCAGGACTCAGTAGGGTTGAACAATAAACAAGCAAATACATGGAAGAATAAACAAGCAAATAGATACTAGACACGGCCATGTCGGTTCTAGGTTTCTTTAACGCCTCATCAAACTTGTCTCTTCCTTGATTCTTTGCTCCCATGGCTCATGATCCTACAGTACTAAACCACCCCTCTCACGGAGCACATGAACCAAATAAGGGAAACTGACTAAAAGAAAAGTTTCATGCCCACTAACTCTGCCTTGCTCCTCCTACCAGCGGACAGGAAGAAGACTTGGAGCCCTGGGCAGAGGGAGAGAATGGCATGCTGAGATGAGGGGTAATCAGACCCTCAGAACCTTCTCTTTCTGCAGGGTAAAGTCCAGGAAGCTGTGTGCAAACCCACACGGGTCACTTAGATGAACGTGAATGGAATACAGTAGTTTGCTTCACTTTGCCAAAATGCTTTCGCGGGGAATCCAACACTTTTCCCCAGTTCACCTTCTGGGCTCTATACCCTGGGGCTGTTCTGCGCATCCATGCGTCAGTGCCATATCTGCTCAGTTAAGTAGCACTACAGTTTTCCAAAACATTTCCTGCACTTATTTATTTGGAGGGAGGGACATGGGCCATAACGCATGTGCAGAGGTCAGAGAACAATTTGAGGAGACCTGTTTTCTTCCTACCATGTGGATTCTGGAAATTGAACACAGCTCATCGGGCCTGGTTGCAAATGCCACTTTATTATATATGTATGAGTGTTTTACCTGAATGTATACATGCGCATCTTGTGTGTACAGTGCCCTAGGAAGCCAAAAGAAGAACCAGATTCCCTATAACTATGTGGCTGCTGGGAACTGAACCCAGGTCCTCTGGAAGCGCAGCAAGTGTGCTTTACTGCCGATCCGTCTCCCCAACCCCTACAGCTTTCTTTTGACAACTGGTTGTGCATTCTCCCTTTCGATTTTTAGTGTCCTTGGGAAATGTATCTTGGATGTGAGGCAATCTGGTTGCGATATCCGTCACCCTACTGATTGCCAACATTGATTTGGCTGATCTGGGTGGCTAGGCGGGTGTCCCCTTCCTCCCTCACCTCTCATGTTCATCTCTTCGGAAGCTGCATGCAAGGTCAAAGAGGACAGCCTTCCCCCAATAGAGAAGGACCTTCCCCCAATAGAAGAGGACCTTCCCCCAATACGGGAAGACCCGTCTTCAGTCAAGGGTGTATGAGTAGCTGAGCTCCCCTACTAGAACTTTCATACAAGTTCTCAAGAAATATATCTCAGGGCGGTGATGGCACATGCCTTTAATCCCCGTACTTGGGAGGCAGAGCCAGGCAGATCACTGTGAGTTCGAGTTTCAGGACAGGCTCCAAAGCTAGAAAAACCCTGTCTGGAAAAAAAAAAGTATCTCATAGAATCAGCAGTTAACAGGCCCATCAGTAGAGCACTTTGCTGGTGTACACAGACACCTTTGTTTGATCCCTAGCTCTGAATAAGTGTGGCACAGTGGAGGCAGGAGGAACGTTCAAAGACATCCACCATCACAGAGTGAGTTCAAGGCCAACCAACCCATAATGCATCAGACCATCTCAAAATGATAAGCCAGCAGACAATTTCTGGGTTGTAGATGTTAAGTCTTTTCTGACACCATTAGCCTGATCATTTAAATGACGTCCCTCTTATTCAACATAACTTATGTTTTGAGGTTTCCAATCACTGTATTATGCACTTCCTGCATTTTTCCCTATTTTGTGTGTTCTCTCTTGATATCTTTAAACATGGAGATGATTTCTCACTGGGTATTCATCCAGTTAAATGTTAATTTTTACTTATAAATGTAGAAGTGCAAAAAGATTAAATGATAGGGCTTAGAAACTTCCAAAGCATACTGCCAACATCTGGAAATTTTGGTAAAAATTATAAGTTTAAGTTGTAAGTATCCTCTTCTGGTCTTGGAACAGCAAGAAACTCGGAATATGGTGAAATAAGACAATTCTCATAATCACGATGTTCACTATTTCCTTTCGGGGGAGGAAGATGGTCTCTATGCCTAAGCCAAGCCGCCCCCACCCACTTTTTATTCTTTGCTTAGCGGAGACCTTCCGTCGATCAGAATCATCCCAGCAAGCTGATGTTTTACACCCGGAGCAATTTCTCCTTTTTGAAATCAGAAAAGCCTTTTCCTGGCGTCTAAGAAGGGAACACAAGATTCTCATTTATGGAAGCGAAGAAGCTATAAGCAGACCCTCAAAAAGAACTCCACACACTCTGTTTGCATGCGGTTTCGGTAAGTTGTTTCATGACCAGAGATGCAACTCGGATGTTCCGGAGATGAAGGAACACAGAGTGAAGCCCCCACATGCAAAGCAGAAATCCCAGTTAGGAAGGAGTAGTATGCACCGCCTCGCGCGACATCTTTTCTGCTTCTAGGTCTCAGTACAACCTTCACCGCTTGCGAGTCCGAAACAGTGACTGTGGACACACCCCCTACCAGTGATGTCTTTACCAGCTCTGCACAGGCTCCTAGCCTGGGGCCAAGAGAGGGGTGGGCTGGAGGGCAGCCCTTTCCGGCAATGCTGGACCCACGCCACTGTCACCACGAGGGTCCCAGAATTGGGGGCACTGCAGACTCTACCCCCTTCCCCCCGGCGACTCCGGAACCAGGAGCCAGCGAGACTGACAGTAGCCCGTCACACTGCCACACTGCCACGGGCTCTGGGCTCGCAGTCGCTGCAGCTCTACCCGGCTCCTCCCCTCGCTGGGTGTCCGTCTTCCCACAGGTACCACAGCTAGACACATCAGTCTCCAAAGCTGAACCGCCCGGCTGGGGGCGCAGGTGCATCACGCTGAGAACCATGTCCGCGGAGCGGGGCGCCCCGTCGCCTCTGGCTCTGCCTGGCCGCGAAGGGGTGCAGAGACCCAGTAGTGGGAGCGACCGACCTACCTGCGGGACCACCAGCCGCCTCTCGCCCGCGCCCTCTTGACTGTCTGGGCCCCGGGCCTCGAGGACCGGGAAGTGAGGGAAGGGGATGTCCCCAGCCAAGGGCATGAACTTCCCGGTCGCCAGGACCGCCCCGTGCGGCTGGCACCGCCCACGGGGTCTGTACCGGGAGCTAAGCGTGGCGCCAGAACTTGGCAGGAGCAGCAGGACAGAAAACCCAGAACTGAGAGGCCAGTGGCTCTGTGTGGGATTTCCCTGAGAGTCCCTAGACTGGGCTACCAAAAAGAACGCTGCGTCCCAGCTGGCATTTTAGCTGAGTTGAGCACCCAGCTGCCAGAGATCTGGCAGGAAGCAGATATTTTAAAGAAACGCTTACACTCTCTCTTTGGTTAATGGGTTGTTGCAGCAAGGAGGCCCTAAGAAACTGGAATTGCCCCGCTGGGAGAAGTTAAGGGTTGCAACTGCGTGCCAATCACAAGAAGTTTTTGTCAGCTCACTATGGGGAAGAAACCTGGGCAATGATGGCTGAATGGCTGGAGGTACCACACACCTTGACCAAGACTGTTACTATGGATACTTGTTGCCGTACTGTACCTAAACTTCAACCTGTGACAGGATGATGGATTTAGGATGAGGGTGTCATGCACCTCTTTATTTAGTCATCTTCCCGATGTGGCTACACCCAGTAGACATTCCTCTGGTGTCCCTAATCTTTGAAGTAGTTTATTGGGGTCCAGTAGGAGACGCTAGCCAGGGCTGCCAAGACTTAGGTCTAACCCTCACTACTCCAGTCACGAAACCTCCCCTTGCCCTGGAACACACCTTTTGAACTCCTTCTGATTTCTCTCCGTCCTCAAAAGCTGCGACACTGCGTACCCTGCCAGCATGCCTCTACCATCCGTTTCTGCTCAACATCTAATAAGAGTATAGCAGCCACCATCCTGACCTGCACCGCAGCATTTGGTCCAGGACACGAATGGGGAAGGACAGCACAGATTTCTTTCTTTCCTTCAATCCGACCAGTCCCTGCTGGTGTGCTGAGGGCAACCCATCCGTCCTCCCAGGAGGCTCTCACTTCCACCTGCCTCTTTGAAGCTAAGTACTTCCCCTTTCGGTATCTCGGAGAGATTCTAAAAACAGCCCAGATTGGTTTGCTTCACAATGGAGGCGTGGCTCCATCTTCCTCGGGAAGGAGTAAGGGGAAAACCTCTTACTTTTTTTGTTTGTTTGTTTTTGTTTTGTAGAGACAGATTAGAGATTGTCCTGGAACTCACTCTGTAGAACTGGCTGGTCTCAAACTCACAAAGATTCCCCTGCCTCTGCCTCCGGGGTGCTGGAATTAAAGGCGTGTGCCACCAACGCCTGGCAAAATCCTCTTACTTTTAAACAAGTTAATAAACCTTCCTTTGTGCCTATGACTCCAGTTGACCTTGGCAAAGTGAGATTCGATGCAGAGTAGACATCCCCACTCCCGTTTACCTAAGGAAATGTCCTGTAAACCTAAGCCAGAGTTGAAGCCAGAAATTTTTTCCTTAAACTGGGGGTTTCTTCTGTCCTCTCTCATCCTTCTTAAGACCCTAGAGAGTGTTACACATACCCCTGTCTGTCCCATCTCTCTGTGTGCATCTCTTGTATGTGTGTGCCTCTGTGTCTCTGTCATCTCTCTCTCTCAGTCTTCCTCTCTCTGTCTCTGTCTCTGAAAGGTACATCCTCCAACCTGCTGAAAACAAGAAACATGCACACATATACACATGCCTGAGAACCATATAAGACAAGGAGACTCAAAGAAGAGCCAATGTGTTGGTGCTTAAAAAACCTCTTCATGCCGGGTGGCACACACCTCTAATTCCTGCACTAAAGGAGGCAGAGGCAGGTGGATCTCTGCGAGTAGTTCGAGGCCTGCCTGGTCTACAGAGTGAGTTCCAGGACACACAGAGAAACCCTGTCTCATTGCACCCCTCCCTCCAAATCTCTTCATGGGAGAGAGGATATATTTGAGAGGGTTTTGCTTCCAGGGGTGAGAAGGCACCCAAAGACAGTGACTACTGGGCTCTTGCATGGTTTGGTTTTCCAACTTCTTTCACTATGAGTGTAGTGTAGTCTTTGAAAGAGTCGGTGGCAATAATGTTCTCGTTGGCAGATCCAGATGTAGTGTAGGTAAGACTCAGAGAAAGCCCCTCCTACATTTGCTGTCACAAAAGCTGTGACTTTGGATTCCAAACTAACTTCTTGTGGAGTATCATTTTCTGACCCTGGTCCTTCAAAATTCAGTGAAGCTCGATCAGTAAGCAGCAATGCAAACTTGGGAGTGAGCTGTGTTCTGAGAGTCTGGTTCTATGGGCTTACTGTGTGGAGAAGCATCCTGGGACTGCAGCGGCTGCCTTCCCTCCCCTGGCTTTCTCAGACACTTGAGCAATCATCTTTTAGCCTTTGTCCCGAACACCGCAAACTGCACTTTGTGCTTCTCTCATGGAACGTCCTAGGTTAACTGAGTTTACTGCTTTGTAATCCTTAGAGCAAAGCTGAGTAACAGCCATTGATTTCGGCCTGGTGTGGTGGCTTACCCCTATAATCCCATGATTTAGGGGGCCAAGGAAGAAGGGGCGCAGGGAGTATTAGGCCAGCATGGGCTACATGAGCTGCTGTCTCAAAACAAACAAAGCCCTTCATTTATCCACAACATTTATGCACAGTGTAGCAGATCCTACAGTGACGGTGAGCCTTGACTATTAACTGCACTGGTAGTTGCCAACCACCAATAAAATACAGCTCAGGTATATCTCTAAGCCTGTTCCAGAGAGGGTTGACATGTGAGAGAACTAGCTATTTGGTGTAGCCACATCGTGAAGAAGACTTAATAAAGATGTACATGACACCCTCATCCTAAGTCCATCATCGTGTCACAGGTTTAAGTTTAGGTACAGCAAGAAGAGTCCGTAAGCAGACAGTCTTGGTCAAGGTGTGGTACCCCCAGTCATTTAGCCGCCATCATCCAGCCTTCCAGTCTCTCCCCTCTGGTGAGCTGACAAAAACTTCCTGTGATTGGCAGGCAGAACTTTTAACAACTTCTTGGGGCCTCATTGTTGTAATAATCCATTAGCCAAAGAGAGAGTTTAAATGTCTCTTTACAATCCCTCGTTCCTTCTAGAATTCTTGCAGTAGGGTGCTCAATTCAGCTGACATGCCAGCTGCGATGCACCATAAATGTCCTTAGCCAGAGCTCTCCTGGGCTTCCTCTTGGCCTGGAGACACACCCACATCAGTCTCTTGTCCCAATCTGTAGAAATGGTGACATAGCCTCACCCCACCTTAGTCCTTAGCTAGCTCCTTAGAGAAAGTTTATTTTTCAAAGCCTCTGGCAGAATCTTAAGTGTGCATCTAAAAATGTATTGTTCAAGCTGTGGCCTAAGGAAAGTACTGAGTTAAACTTGACTGGATGGTGTTCCACTTTGCATTAATTAACTTTCCCGTTGCTATGACAAATGGGACTGAATGAAGGGAAGGTGTCCTTTGGCTCACAGTTTGAGACTGTAGTCTGTAAGGTGAGGAGGGTGTGGCAGCAGGAGTTTGAGGGTGCTGGTCACCCTGTGTCCACAGGCAGGAACAGAGAGGTGAATGCTGGTGTTCCACTCCTCTACTGTGGGGGTGGGGGGGGCTCCAGGGAGTCCATGGGGCTGGAGAGGCTAAACCTTTCTATCTGAGGGGGGGCTTAGGGGAAAAGGCACTCACAAACTCTCTTGATGAGTTCCTTCTTTATTCTCTCTCTCTCTCTCTCTCTCTCTCTCTCTCTCTCTCTCTCTCTCTCTCTCTCTCTCTCTCTCTCATATGTTTTTCACAATTTTTATACCCCAACAGAATCTTCCAGGAAGTACAAGAGTCAAAACAGTTTCTCAAGTGAATAACTATAGCTAAAACCATATTTTCATCTCCCTCACATGATTAGTCAGTCTATGTATTACAGATGAAAACCCACATACAGTCATAGATTAACTGTGTGGGCAAGCAAGGTGTTCTTGTCAGGTCTTTTAGTGGCACGATGAATTTTGCAGTTACAAAGGGCCAATTACTGTATTACTTGAAAGGTAATCTTATAAGGAATCTTAAAGGAATCACAAACCTAAACTTTCATATATGAAAGCTCTACTTTAAATCAGGTGAAAGTGCCCAGTGGAACGGGATGTTTCCAAGAGATAAACACACCACATTACGGGCAGTGGAGACCTCCCCACATCCACTCACACCATGCTAGATACCGGAGAACAAGACTTGGAGCAAAAGACATTCCGGGTCTGCAGTCCTGTGGCATTGCCTAAACAAGATTGGCCTATCAGAGGATTTCCTTCTGGTGGACTAACATCTGGAACCTCAATTGCAACTTGAGGCTCCTCTGGCGTGGCCAACGACACTTCTCCTTGGTATTCAGTCTGGGATCCCATCACCTGGGGTAGATCTGCTCTCTTCAGTTAAGCCTCTCTGGAAACATCCTTGAGATATACCCAGAAGTGAGTTTTCTGTATACTTCTAAATCAGTAGAGTTGATGATGAAGATTAACCATCACACACTCCTTCTGGCCACTGGTAAGTGTTCAGTAGAAAAAAAAAGTACAGATGTACCTCCACACAGTCTGTATCTCCAGTGTTTCTACCCCAAGTTGAGTCTCCAGAGCATCACAATATTTTACACCAAATCCAAGGCATCTCATGAGTGCCAGGCATCCCTTTGGAGTGAACACTTAAGTTTTCAACTGACGAAGTTGCACCAAGACCCCAAGCCTAACTTTAAATATATACATCATGTGTTTCTTCTCAGCTGAATGGTATAATGTCTCTCTGGAAGAACAGACAAGCACCCCCATTAACAGACACACAAATGTTGTCTCAGCTGTAGTCTGCCTGCAAGGTGGCCCTTTAAGTTGTAAAAACCAAGGGGAATCTCTTCTGGGGAGACTGCTCCCTCTGGCTGCCACCAGGATTTTTGCCTTGCCTTCCCCACAGCATGGGATTCTGGGGAATTTTAATTATTTTGGGGTCTGTTATGTCTATAGTCTGATCACTGGCGGGTAGGGGGTGGACAGTCTGATCACTGTGGGGGGGAGTGGGCAGTCTGATCATGGGGGTAGGGGGTGGACAGTCTGATTACTGGAGGAGTGGGCAGTC